AAACAAGCTGTTTCACCAATGCCACAGGCTCTAAATAGATAAGTCCTAGAAATCCCAGGTAGAGGATGTTAAATTTTCCAAATGTACAAAAAAAAAAGGATTGTACTGCACTTTGGGTACAGTTACATCAGCCTTACGAAAATTTGTCTCGTTTCAGCTATCAAATTCCAATTAAAAACTGTTGATGACATCCAAATGAGTCACCACGTATAATGATTCACGCCATAAAATAATTACTGCTCCTTTACAAGGCCTAATTAGCCGTTTTCTGGCACGCATTGAATTTTAAAATCGCCTAAGTTTTCTTCCTGGTCACGTCCAATCTTAATTCCCAAACATCCCATTCATCACAATAATTACACCGTAATTACTAACGAAGATCTGTAATCATTGTAGATTTGTGAACATCTCAATGGCCGGTAATCGCCTGGAATAAATTATTTTTATGGGAAGGAAATGTAAATTGAGAGGGCCGTGCGAAAACAAACAAGAAACATCGAGCCGGATTGTAAACAACATATGTAGAGGTCGTCAGTTGGGGAAAGGACGACGTTTAGTCAAGCGAGTGCCTAATACGCGAGCAGCGGAGACCTTTGAACCGTCCAATATGAAAAGAAGCAAATATCAGTCGCCGTAATGGTGAGTGCACGCTGAGGAGCAAGATCTTGTCACACCTTTAACGACGCAAAAGAAGAATTATGAGAATTATTCACATATTAATTGCGTGAAATTTCGAACAAATCGAGGAAATCAAAAATACTATATTTTAAAATTATTTTCAAATATACAGAGCGATGCGCGAACGCGTGACGGTCAAAATATTTGTTATATTTTTAATGGAACACGTTATATGTTTACATAAACTCGGCAAAAAAATTAAATGAACAGAAAAATTTCGAAAATTTTTTTATAATTTTTTAACTTTGTCGTATCGAGAAAAACATTTCAAAATTTAATTGTTTTTTTTTTTCGATATTTGATGAATATTTAACGCAAAATTGTGAGAATAACACAAAATAAATTTATTTCATCTTCATCATTAATTGATGTTTAAGGAGCAATGAACCTGCTGCTTTAATTTTTTATAAAATTTTGACGATTCAGAAAAGGAAAACGATTCGACCGATCGAATTCAAAATTTACAGGCCTCATGGGTATGTATTGAGCTAAAAGAATACCTACAAACATTGGTACTTTTCGCAATATTCACAAAGTAGTCGTTGATTTTCCAAAACAGCAGAAAATGTCATTTTTTGCACTTTTTTAAATTTATGCTGAGCATAAAAAAACTCAAACATACCAAAAGCCCCTTGAAGAGGATTGATTCAAGTTTCCAAAACCCACCTTCCGTTCGTTGTACGATCCAAAAAAAAATCAATAGCCGATATCTCAATGAGAAACAATCCTACAGAAAATAAAAGAAAAACAAAATGAAGCTGATGAATCTGGCTAAATGACTCTGATTAAGCCAGAAAACTTGTCTAAGCCCATATGCAGTTCTGAAAAAAAAAATTGTAAAATTTCTTTTGATTGGGCTGTGATGCCCAAAAAAAATTTTTCATCTTAAAATTTCAAAACTAGAATCTTCACGAAGTTACTTTCAAAAATCACTAAAAAAATTTGGAAATTTTTGTACTCCTTTAATTTTTTGCTGCGTGTATTATTTAAGTTCTTCGTAAAATTCTGCGTAGTATGACGACGTAAATAATCTTACATTCTGGTACGGCATTCTCAAATTATTATTTGTAGAATTAATTAAATCTTGTAAAAAAAAATAGTTTGTAAAATATCTAACAATTTGTCAAATGCTAGTAGTTAAAACCAAAATGTTTTTTATTTCAAATAATGTTCTCCAACGAGCGTGATCGTGTACACTTTTTTATTCTTTTCAATTTTTAATGTGTTTCTACGGCTATTTCTGTAATTTTAGATATATTTTACTTACTACTAAAAAATATGTTTAAAAAAACAGTGCACAATGACTGGTATTTATACATTTTCTGTTTTAACCCCAAGTTAAATAACAAGTAGAACACCCTGTATCTTTTTAACGAGCGTCCTAGATAAAAACTTTGTAGGAAAGATTAGCCTTAAAATTCACCAAAGAATAGGAGGTTTCATTTTTGGTCACCATTTGTGAATCACCCTATATAACAGCTCCTTTTCATAATGATTTATGTTTCCGTTTTTAGCGTGTAAAACGGGAATTATAATGGTTAAGTGATCGTCACCTCTCGGTGCATAATCGGTTATGATCGTAAAATTGCCGTTGTGCATTGACTATTACAGTTCGTCTAGTTGGATGAGATTTGACAGTATACACATATATTTGATGGGATACATGATTATACCGGGTTGTATGAAGTTGACAGTTATGTAAATATCTAACTGTTTTTATAATTTCTAATTGTAACTGTTTTTTTTTTCATATTTAAATCTTATCTAGATTTTAAAAATTGTTATTAATCCGGACGAATTAGACCAAACACATGCCTGTTTCGAAAATCGGGTCTAACTCAAATTTTATGGGCTTAAAATGAAGTAAAAAATACACATAATAAATGCCTAAATTTGTGTATTTATAGAGATCGAACGTCATATTGTTTATAACAAAAGAAAAAACATAATTGAACTTTTTTCAGTTTTTCACTTATATCTCCGAAAATAAGCCTCTAATCGACATGAGGTATACTTATCGACTTTGTTCCTGAGAAAATTGGTATAAGTATGGTCTTTTGGGAAAGTTCTCAATTTTTTTTTACATTGCAACATTAGCGGTGAAGAAAAAATGTGTAAAATTTTCAGTATTAAATAACAAGAGCGAATTTGACTGAAATTGGATGAAACTTTAGGAAAAGATGACTGTTGGGGTGCTCAACAAATACCCAGACCCCCAATTTTAAAATGGCGGCCTACTAACTGCAAATTTATATAAATATTTGTAAAATTACTAGGTATTAAAAAGCAAAATGAAGGAAATTCAAAATTAGAGATTAAAATCCATTGCTCTATTTAGATAATTATTTTTTATACAACTTTGGAATCGTCTTATTACAGAACTCTACTAGATTTTTTTATTTATTAAAATAGCTTGCTTATTACTTATGTAAAACAGTTTGCGATTCAATATTCAAAGCCTACCGATTAATTTGTGTACTAATGTTTATTTTGAAATTCCGATTATCACGACAACCAAATGTAATTAATGTAAACAAAATAACATTATTTCGAAACAAAATTAATTAAAGAAGATTAAAGAATACAATGATTTGTAATTTTTTATTTATAAAAATCACACCGCTTCCCGCATATCTACACCACTAATTATTATATTATTTCCGAAATGTCACCTGCCTGTTTCAAGTTTTTATTACCAGGCCATTTCAGAAGTAAATATCATAAAATTTCAAATTTTATTTTAGAACTTTCTACCTCCGTAAATAGGCCCAACCGACCAAAAGTTTACTAAGAAAATTTTCATAACATTCTGTGCTTATTACCGCAGTATGTTTTGCGGCACACGAATACGGACCACCTTATATACGTCGATATAAATACAAAATAAAGCTCTAGTCAGGCCACAGAAAAACCTGTCAAAGGCTGCTTTGAACGAGCCGTTTTCCCACACCTCAATTCAGCGGGGAAATTTTATAACAGAACTATTACATAAAAAGTTTTCGTCTTTTTCCCTCGGATTGGGAAGTTCGCACACCTGTTGTAAATCACCCTTATTTTGCCTTGGGATATTTCGTAAATTTCCATCCAAAGACATCTTCAAAGTTCGAGTCTCAACTCCCACACCGAGATGTATTCCGCTCGCCAGGGAAAAGCTGCCGCATACGTATGGTCTTTATTCGTCATTCCGATAGGCGACTTTTATTTGAACCGAGCTTCGATGGAAATGGAAAAGTTCGCGATGTTGAATTAGAGTGCCCTGTTAAATTAGAGTTTTATGAATTTCCGGAAATAGGATGAAGCCATTTATTATTTATGCCTATGACCTGGCTAGATGGACATCCCTATTTCTTAATCATAAGTTTTCACGTAAGTATTGCCAAGTACAAAAAAATATATAACTAGAGAAAATAATCCATCTGACCAATTAAGTAATTGGGTGTAATATCACTCTACTATTTTAGATACAATTATAAAAAATTATCCGATCAAATCTTAAGTTTGTTCACTTCACAATGCAAAATATTATTTACAGACTTAAAGTTTTCAATTTTGTAGTTTTTGTTTCCGTTTAAGTACGTAGGAGGCCTTCGAATGCCTGAAAATCAAAAATTAACCAGTTACTGGAAAAACGCTGAAATTATAACAGAAGTCTTATTATTTTAATAAATTAATCCGTAACAAATTCCCAATCCAAACTATATTGAAACAACAGTAATCACGTGGCTCTCAAAAATCATCGGATAGCATCGGCCCCATTGAAATACCAGTAGCTCAAATCCTCACTTACGAGCGTGAACGACGGAATAAGCCGAAGCTCGATCGGGTTCACTTCGGATGACTCCGAAAGCCTATCAAATAGCTGCACCTCGAGCAGCACGATAGTTTACTACAGGGGCTGCGCACTCTCTGTGGTGGGGGAGAATTACGCAATAGTTCATACACTTGCCATTTTGGCGCTGGCATCAAGGAATCTTGGGTGTTGTTGATAAAACAGGAACCAAGTTTATCATTTACTATTTGAATTTATTTTGTTTTGTGGATGGTTTTGTGGTATTGTTGTATTTTATTTATTGTTAATTGATTATAAACTATAATAGGACAATGGTTTTTGTGTGTTGTGGACCGAATTGTGATGAAAACGTAAGGAAGAATTAAAACACATATATAAAGGAAACAATTGTACCGTAAATGTTTAACCTATATACAATATTTTTATTACACTTTCTTTCAGGTATACGATATTTGGGTAAAGAGTATTGGTAATCATACACTGAAGTCTTGATCCTCAAATTGCTTATATACACAGAGTATGCGATAAGCAGTGAATTTTGTCGAACTCCTGGGGAGAAAAAGTTAAAATATGGAAGTTTGTCCATATTATTTTTGTCAGGTAAATATATAAAAACTAAATAAAATATTGTGTCAATATTTTTGTATGTGTATTTTAGATTTTCATGAAAGTCCGACACAGGAAAATTCGCTTTATAAATATGGAAGTTGTGAAACAGAAACTCATTTGGAAGTACCAGATCCTATTCCAAGCACTTCTACTGAATGCAATACACCCAATATATATTCTGAAGTTCAAATCACATTAAGGCAGCCAGGTAATTTCGCATTTACTTAACTAGAATTAAATTTTTTAAATGTTTCCAATTTACATTTATAGATTAGTATATTCTTTTATTAGAGGTTATTTGCAATATAAATTAGTGACTACTGTAAAATAAACATAAATCGTTGACTGAAGTATGTACTATTTTTAATCAACGCATGAATTTATTTGCAGTGTCCTTTACAGAATTTTATTTGATTATTTAGTAATACTTTTATAGAACTGTATAAATTGTAATAAATTTAATTCTCTTTAAAGGTGAAGAAGAGGATAATCCATTTATTTCAATACCAGGTACTTCAAGAGATTGTATAACCCCAACCGAACAGGTATAGTTAGTGCGGTAGACTCAATTACTGAAACTTCATGAAGATATAAAGGTGCTTACTTTATTTTAAATAGTATGTGTAAATATTTGTATTAGACATGTTTCTATTAGTAAAAGTGTAGTTTAAACAAATTTAACATTTCTTGAATTTCAATTTGCATATTAAGCTTATTTTGAATGAAAGAACACGGCCTATATTTATAATATAGGCCGTGTTCTTTATACCTTATGTGTTTGTGTGGTCTAGCTTGTAAAGTATTTTAATTTATATATTTTATAGTATAATATAACTTGCAATATGTCAGCGTATTGTAATTTTCTATAAATAATTAAAAAAACAAATGCGGCATTTTATTTAATAAAATAAACAAAACTGTTTACAACAGTGCAAAGAAATCATTTGAAGTTCATATTAGGTAAGTAAAATTAAAAACAAAATAAGCAATTGTATCCTTTAGAAAGAAACAATATTTTAAATAATATGTATATCACTTATATTGTCTGAAATTACTTTTCTGTGGCAGTATTTAGTATTTTAGAGTTGGAGTATTTTTTGCCAATAACAATTAAGAAATAATCCCATGAAGTAGAAGGATTATTGATGTAGGGGTTGTTTTAATAAACTTACTTTTGCTTAAAATGATTATATTTTATACTAAGATTGTAGATAATATACTTAAAAAAACACTATTGTACATTACTTTGATGACGTTTCAAAATTTAAAGTAATGTGGCATACTGTCTCTTTATGGTATACTATTTACAGTCTCAGTATGAGATATAATCATTTTAAGCAAAATTAAGTTTATTATTTAATATTATCAATATATTTTAAAAGTCCCGCTAAATGACTTCTATTTGATACACTTGGCACATTGGCGCTGATGCTTATTACAGTCCTTCCCCCTCCACTCGAGTTAGCTATCTATAGTTATCTATTGTCTCTGATTNTAAGATTGTAGATAATATACTTAAAAAAACACTATTGTACATTACTTTGATGACGTTTCAAAATTTAAAGTAATGTGACATACTGTCTCTTTATGGTATATTATTTACAGTCTCAGTATGAGATATAATCATTTTAGGCAAAATTAAGTTTATTATTTAATATTATCAATATATTTTAAAAGTCCCGCTAAATGACTTCTACTTGGCACATTGGCGCTGATGCTTATTACAGTCCTTACCCCTCCACTCGAGTTAGCTATCTATAGTTATCTATTGTCTCTGGTTTACTATATTTGTGACGCTTGAGGGGATAGTTATGGTTCAATATTGCTCTTCCGGTTAGCTAATTTAAATACAAATCGAATTTAAGCTGAGTAAACTAAATTTTCCAAAATTAATTATCATTAACAGTTAAGAGTGAAGGATTTAAATATTTAAGAAGCTGGACAGGGTCATGGACAAACATATAAAAGACAATTTAATTATGGTTGCTTTGAAAAAATGTTTTTTTTTCTGTTTTCCGTGTATGTTCCGAAAAAATAAAAAAAAATCAAGATAAAGTGTGTCAACATACAGGTTCACAAGTTTCACTTATTGGATAAACATCACAACGAACAAATGACAAAAAATAAATGTTTTATCCAAAATCATTGATTGATTAAGTTTTTTAAGCTTTCGAACATTCTGAAAACCGTCACATTTTTTTGCAAATTGATTAGTTTTCGGTCAGATCATGACAAAACACTTATGTTAGTGAGCACCATAAAAAGTGCAACAATTTTGAATTAAAGCTTAAAAAAATAAAATAAGGAGAGTTCATCTATTTTATAACTATAGTAGGATCGTATTCGATGCAAAGTAGAACAAAAAGTTGTCGGTCTTTTATCAAAGGAAAATCGTGTCATCATTTTTCGGAGGCGTAAGATAAATAATTTCAAATTTAAAATAAAATTCAATGTAAAATCTGAAATACCGCTGCATACGCACTGTGTTCTGGTAGTAGCTCAGGTGCATCGAGTGTACGAACTGGTCGGTTATACGTCAAATACTCACCTGGCGAGCTTTGCCGTCAATTAGAGAGCGCTTCCAAAAAACAAGTAAACAACAGTGGCGCGTACAAAGGTAAAATGTAGTACATATGTGGAATTTAAGAAACAAATTGGATTTATAATAAATTACATTTAAAATAAATAGTTTATGAGAATAAAGGAATTTTTGTAGGAACAAGGGTGCCAGACCTGAACTGATCCCCTCGTCCCTTCATAATGTATAAAGAAATTATTCAATTTGTAAAACCCTTAAAAGCGTACTTCATTGATTCCCTTGACAGGCAATTATTTATTACTTTGCATCGAATATGATCCTACTATAAGCTTGTCTGTATTTGTATTTAATAATCATAATAATATATTGTATGTATATCTATATGTAATAATAATAATAATACATTTATTGATACACAGTTACACAATAAATGTAAATAAAGAAACAAATGCATTAAACAATTGAACTAACTGAAAAGAACTAACATTGATTTCACAAATTCGCATATCAAATTGAAACTTTTGCAATAACATATCAGGAGATATTTAAAGTTCATTGGTTTGGGCCTCTCGACAATAAAATGTAATATTTTGTCTGAAACATATTGCAAAGTGACATATGTACAGATGTCCTACATAATTACTAAATTTAATTTAAATCGAAAAAGGGATTTTAAAATTATTTCGAATAAAACTACGAGTTTTTCTTATCTTTGAAGTGCCCTAGTGGCTAAATGAGACAAGTTCGAATATAGAGGTAAGTTTTACTAAATGGTTTTATTTTGAAAGCAATATGTAGGCACACACAAAATATCTTCTCAAAATGTTTGCATACATATATTACAAACGTTATAAAAGACGCTGTACAAAGAACAACCAATCAATAACAACTATTATCCGAAAATGATCAAAATGTACCTTAATGATGGAATAATTTTTTGCGAATCACGCTGTGGTTTAGAGTAAATTGAAAGCTAATGGGGCAACTTATTAAATCGTCAGAGAAAATCGTTTCAGGGGGTAATAACCATTTAATTTGCATTAATTGTGGATCGGACGTCTACAAAAAAAGAATAAAAAATTGTCCCCAAGCTGCTTGACGCTAATGAACACCTGAAATTGATATTTTTTAGGACGCCAACCGGAAATTTTTCTCTGTGGGAAGATTCGAAATAATTACGTGTTCTTAAGGAACTTTAAGGGAAGACCTAATAAATATGCATCATTTCTTGTACTTTCGATTAATTATGTCATTTATTAAGTTAAAATATCTGATATAATATTACTTCAGTCCAATTAGAGTTTGAACGTAAAAAAATATTAGTAGACATTTTATTGCACTTTATTTCGAGGACATCTAGAGGACCTATCGGAAAATTAGTTATTTTATGTTGTAAGCAATTAAATTACCAAAAATTTTAAGGTATCCAAAGTCATATTTCACCGACTTATTAACTGTAAAACAAAGGTCGAACGCAGAAAAATCAATTTTCCAAATTTGCGCAAAAAGCGATAGATACTGATGAAATTTATGGAAAAGACGGTCAATCCTTGTACCAACACGTGTGCCAATCGCCGATTTGATTGACCATAAAATTGTTTAATTACTAAATGTTAATTTTAGAAGTTAATATCGTAGATATACGTTGTAATTAATCCAAAGAAACGTATCGAAAAACAAAAATCTCAAAAAGTTGAAATTAACCTGCCCTTTACAACTAACAAAGCAAGACGTGCAAAATAGCTTTATAAACGAATAGTCCCAGGATCAGGCAAAAGCCGCTCGGGAATTCGCTCTTTTTGTATTAAATAGAGCTTATTAAGTCCCTTTGTTCCCAAGATAGTTCGGACCGGAATTTTATAGACAATTAAAGAAAGGGTTAAACTTTTATTTTCAGAAAGTTTTACATTTATAGTTCACGTAATAAACGCGCTAGCAGCAATAAAAGTTTACGTTAATGAACGGCCTGCACGCGCGAGGAGCACCGCTCTGTCAAAGTTTTTATGGCATAGAGCCGATTGCCTATACATTTTCCGGACATAGCTGTCTGCAGCCTCTAGAGAGCACAACAAAAAATTTCTATAAATTAATTGAGTCCCACAAGTCATAAAATGCCTAAGTCGGAGGGACAAATTAAAAAAACTCTGGTCTGATTTACAGCGGTCAATCATAAAAATATTGTATTGTATAGCAGAGAATGTAACATCTTTCAATTTAATAAACCCCCGTCAGATGCACCAAACCGGAAGAAGTCTACCTGACAGATGACCTGTAACGATTGTTTTAGGTATTGCGCGACATCCGATTTATAGATACGTCGAATACATAGACGGGATTCCGTTATAGATTTGGCACTTGTTATCTTGTTTGTTCGATCCGGACATGGTTAGGAAAGCGACGGGAGGAAACGTCCGACTTCGCAAAAAGAAAAGGAACTCTCAATTTTCGTAACAGACATATATAAAGTATAAATAAGGGTTTGATATACTGGATATTATATACTCGAGACTGCCAAACGACTTTTATGGACGTAAAAATAAAATAAGACATATGCATAGAAATTTTGTGACGTAAAAAAATCATATACAGGGTGAGTCATTAATAATGGTATACAGCTTATTGGTAGATTGTTATTGAACTATATTAAATTCTAAATAAAAAAGGTATACTTGTTACAAATCGATAAACTCAACCGTGTTCGTGTTACAGACATTTTAAGTTTTTGAGAATCGGCGAGAATTAAATTAAAAAATTATTTTTTCCAAAGTAGTAGGCATTGACATAATAAATTAACAACACATTATACCCGAGAAGTAAGAGGATATCTTAATAGAAATTTCCCGCACCGTTAGATTCGACGCGGTAACGAGACACCATGGCCTGTACGTAGCCCTGATTTAAATCCGCTGGATTTTTACTTTTGGGGTTATCTTAAATCTCTAGTTTACAAAGATATTATTAATAGTCAAGAACAACTGTGGACAAATATTCAAGAATCAGTTCATATTATCAAACAGAAATTTATTGAGAATCTTTAATTATTAATAATTTGTTAAGATATGCATAATAAATCAGTTGCTGTAATGTTTGTCTTAATACATATTTTTACATTGATAGAACAGTATATCTAGCGCCCCCTAGACGCGACCCCAACACTGTTTGCAT